TTTTTTTTTTTCCTCACTTTGTTGCCCAGGCTGGAATGCAGTGGCATGATTTTGTCTCATTGCAACCTCTGCTTCCCGGGTTCTGCTTCAGCCTCCCAGGTAGCTGGGATTACAGTCGCCCACGACCACGCCCTGCTAATTTTTGTATTTTTAGTAGAAATCGGTTTTCACCATGTTGGCCAGGCTGGTCTCCAGCTCCTGACCTTAGGTGATCCACCTGCCTTGGCCTCTCAAAGTGGTGGGATTACAGGCGTGAGCCACTGCACCCAGCCTAAATTTCTGTATAGTAAATACTGATAGATGTAACCCACGTAACTAAAATTTCTCTGAGCTCCTCAATAACTAACAGTGTAATGATGATGGCAGGAGGCAGACAAATCCCCAGGCAGACAGAGAGATCACATCCCTGGTGAAACCAGCCTTCAAACCAAAGACATTTTAAAAGTGTGAAAACCAAGCTACAAGTCTCTGATAAATCCATGGAACAGACTGAGAAACTCTCTTCCCGTGTGGTCCACTTTCCTCTGACTGATCCCCACCCTTCACCTATTTTACATACACCTACCCTTCCCTAACTGTTTTTTTACGTTGTGATGCCCAATTTTGAGTGCCTTTTTGCAGAAACCAATCAGCATGTACTCCCCCATTCTGAGCCAATAAAAGCCCCGGACTCAGCCTCACTTGGGGTCTACACACCTTGGCGGGGGGAAATACCCGACTTGAGAGGGTCCCCTCTCTGCTGGGAGCTGTTTGTTCTCTCAATAAAACTCTTCACCTTGCTCACCCACTGGCTGTCAGCATAACCTCATCCTTCTTGGATGCCGGACGAGAACTCCAGAGGGCCTACCGCTGGTAGGAAAAATGCTGTAACACTGTAATTCTCCACCCACCCCCAGAACCCGCTCAGGAAAGAGGAAATAGCAGTGGGTTGGGCCAGCCCTGAAGCTGAGGACCCAAGGGGGCAACGGGATTGAAAGACACGTAACACAAACAGCCGAATGGGTGGGGTGTCTCTTGCACCGAGCCCAGGCCAAGGGAGGCCTGAGCAGTGGTGCTGCTGGCCGCGGAGGTCTCTGGCTGGTTAAGCAGCCCTGAAGAATCCTGTGTCATAAGGGGTTCTGAGACCAAACAGTTTGAGAATTGTTGGACTAAGGAATATAAATTTTAAAACCAAGACTCGCCAGGCACGGTGGCTCGTGCCTATAATCCCAACACTTTGGGAAGCCAAGGCGGGTGGATCACAAGGTCAGGTGTTCAACACCAGCCTGGACAATATAGTGAAACCCTGTCTCTACTCAAAATACAAAAAAAATTAGCCAGGGTTAGTGGCGGGCACCTGTAATCCCAGCTACTTGGGAGGCTGAGGCAGGAGAATCGCTGGAACCCGGGAGATGGAGGTTGCAGTGAGCTGAGACCACACCACTGCCCTCCAGCCTGGGTGACAAGAGCGAAACTCCGTTTCAAACAAAAACAAAAACAAAAAACAACCAAGACTCTTATCAGCCCACATGACAATACTCTGTGAATTCTCACAATGGTTCTAGGAGGTGGGTGCCTTATCACCCCCGTTTACCGGGTGAAGACACTGAGGCACAGGGAGGCGATGTAATTGCTCAGTCACACAGATGGCAATCGACACAGCAGGGACTTGAACCGAAGCATCTGACCCCAAGCTTGTGCACTTCCTTGGGGACAATTTGGCTACATGTTTAAAAAGCTTTTAAAAATATTTGCCCCCTTTGACCTCTTTCAAGACTCTCAAGAAATCTTTGGCTGGGCGCGGTGGCTCATGCCTGTAATCCCAGCACTTTGGGAGGCTGAGGCAGGTGGATCACAAGGTCAGGAGTTCAAGACCAGCCTGGCCAAGATAGTGAAACCCCGTCTCTACTAAAAATACAAAAAAAATTAGCTGGGCATGGTGGCAGGCACCTGTAATCTCAGCTACTCGGGAGGCTGAGGCAGGAGAACTGCTTGAACCCAGGAGGCAGAGGTTGCAGTGAGCTGAGATCGTGCCACTGCACTCCAGTCTTGGCAACAGGGCAAGACTCTGTCTCAAAAAAAAAAAAAAAAAAAATTTGACTTCTCAGCAAGCAAGGTGGCTCACATGTCTAGTCCCAGCACTTTGGGAGGCCGAGGTGGGCGTATCACCTGAGGTCAGAAGTTTGATACCAGCGTGGCCAATATGGTGAAATCCCATCTCTACAAAAACATAAAAATTAGGCATGATCACCGGTGCCTGTAATCCCAGCTACTCGGGAGGCTGAGGCGGGAAAATCGCTTGAACCCGGGAGGCGGAAGTCGCAACAAGCAGAGATCACGCCACTACACTCCAGCATAGGCGACAGAGCGGGACTCTATCTCAAAAAAAAAAAAAGAAAGAAAGAAAAACTTTGACATTATAGATTCATATACAAAGATATGTATAAGTCATCAAGTTAAAAACAACCAGTAGTCTGTGAATGATTAATAGATAACAGCAAATAAATGAATAAAGGTAGCTGGGCGCGGTGGCTCACGCCTGTAATCCCAACACTTTGGGAGGCTGAGTCGGGTGCATCACCCGAGGTCAGGAGTTCGATACCAGCCTGGCCAACATGGCGAAACCCGTCTCTACTAAAAGCACAAAAATTAGCCGGGCGTGGTGGCGGACGCCTGTAATCCCGGCTACTCAGTAGGCTGAGGCATGAGAATTGCTTGAACTCGGGAGGCAGAGGTTGCAGTGAGCCGAGATCAGGCCACTGCTGCACTCCAGTCTAGACGACAGAGCGCAATTCCCGTTTCTAAAAAAAAAAAAAAAAAAAGTGCACAAGACAATGCCCGGGGAGATAGGATACTGGGATGGGGGCAGCGGGAGCCTTGGTAGCGGAGTCCAGGGTGGGATTCAGAGACCTGCAGAGCCAGGGCCGGAGGGGCAGGGCAGAGGAAGGGCGTGAAGCGCCGCTGACACTCGAACGTGAGCAGGCGGAAGGTTCGGGAGGTCCCAGAGGACCTCGACCAGGACCCTGGAGCCCTGGGGCGGTGGCACATTCAGCGGCCGCTTTAGAGCGAGGGGGACGGGGCGCGGAGCCAGGCTTGGGGGAGCCAAGGGGGCAGGCGGAGTGGTGGCGACCCTGCGGGCCTGGGAGAGCCGCGGTGAGCCTAGGGGGCCGTGCCGGGGCCGCTCTGGCCGCTGCAGCCAAGTGTCCCAGGAAAGCAGGGCTCAGGGCCCCGCATCTCCCTGTGCCCGGAGCCAGCCCAGTCCCACCGCACTGGGGGGCTGGAGGATGACGAGTGTCCCGGGCACCCCTTGGGCCGGGTGAATGTGGTTGGACACCGAGAGGGTGGGGCCCGTGGGCAGGGGTGGGCCCAATGGGCCAGGGCTGAACCAATAACGAGAAAGGATGAATGGACAGGGGCTGAACTACAGGGCGAGGGCGGGACTAATGGGTGAGGGCTGGACCAATGGGCAGGGGCTAAACTAATAGACGAGGGCAGGACCAATGGCGCGGATGAGGCTGCTGCGTTGTCAAGGATGCAGAGATGAAAGCAAGGCAGTGGCTTCTTTGAGCCTAAAGACCTTCCCTCCGCATGCTCGGTATCGCGACGGGGGAGAGCAAAACCTTTAAATAAATGCTCCAGTTTCCCTCGCAGGGAGTCGGAGTCAAATAGATGAGGAAGCCCTGGGGTCGCAGTAAAGCCCACCCACTGGTGCTGGGAGAACCTCGCCCGGGACCCGGATCCAGGCCGCAGGTCCCCCGAGGCTCCGCCCCTGACGATGACACCCATTCCCGGGTCTCCCCGCCCCCTTACTGAATTTTGGCCCCGCCTCCTCCCTCCGATTGGCTGGACGTCCAGCTATACACCGCTCGGGCAAGACCCGGAGGAGCGGCCCCCGCTGGAAGACAAGGCCCCTGTGACCTTGCTGCGCATGCGCCTGCAGTGACCCCGGCTTGAGGTGACGGCGCGAGCTGAGGCGGGGGCCCTTGGCGCGGAGGTTGAGGGACCCGCCGCGGCGCTGTCGCCGGAGAGGGAGGGCACCGCTGCCGTCGGTGAGGACGGGCCCCGGCGGGCGGGGAGGGTCGCGCGTCCTCGGCGTGGTCGCGTCCCCGGCCCGGCTCTCCCGGGGGTCCCGAGGGCTGCGGGTGCTGAGGAGGGGTCCGCGTCCCGACACTCAGGCCGCCTCCTGTGGGGTCTCCCGCGATTCCTTCCTTGCCTCTCGCCCCTCCTCCCCCACCCTCCCGTCCCCTGGCCAGAGCCTCAACACCCCCACATGAAGGAGCTCCGCACTAGCCCGCCGGCCCCTGGCGGTGTCCGCGGCGCCCAGCGCTGCCTTCCCGGCGCCCCCCAACCCCCGCCGGCCGCGTCCCCCGCTTGCAGCTCTGGAGGTCCCTGCAGGGACGGCAGCTACTTGGAGGCGTGAGATACTGGGGCGGGGGAGACACTTGGGACCTCAGGGTGTGGGTATTCTTGGGAAAGGAGAGAGCCGGGAAGCTGGGACCATTTGGGCGCAGCACAGCCCGCGTTTGATGCCGATTGCATCGGGTAAAGGAGGAGTAAAAGAAAGATTCTGAGCCCTGGTGATTAGGGGAAGGAGCTGCCACGACTGAAATTCCCATCGTGGGAAAGGTCTGCACTGCACACCATAGAGTAGCAGTTCTTGGCCTTCTTGGGGCAGGGGTCACAGCCGGTTTTTAAAATCTCCCTGTAAGGATGTGTACTGCACACCTTAGTGTCCCGTCATCCCGTCAGGGGGTCAATCACAGCCCCCCACCGTGGACTGCATGGAGCAGTGATTATTGGGGAGCGGCTGTCCATATCGCCTGGGAACTTTTGCAATGACTTCACCCTTGCCTATCAGCTATTAACATCCCCTAATAAATTCACCGCTGTTTCCGTTACGCGGATGAAACCTGCCGGGAGGGCAAGGGATTTGTCCTCGCGGCTGAGGATGCCGGTGGTAGTGGACATTGATGTTTCTCTCCCTTTCGTATGAAGATGATTCTGTGGATCCACCATGAGGCACCAGGCAGGGGTCCTGTCTTCCAGAACCTCATCAGTAAGGGACTGAAACTTGTATTAGTTTCCTGTTGCTGTCCTGATAAATATGGTGGCTTAAAGCAACACAGGTCGGGTGCGGTGCCTCACGCCTGTAATCCCAGCACTTTGGGAGGCCGAGGCGGGCAGATCACAAGGTGAGGAGATGGAGACCATTCTGACTAACACGGTGAAACCCCGTATCTACTAAAACAAAAATACAAGGCCGGGCCGGTGGCTCAAGCCTGTAATCCCAGCACTTTGGGAGGCCAGGGCGGGTGGATCACGAGGTCAGGAGTTCGAGACCAGCCTGGCCAACATAGTGAAACCCTATCGCTACTAAAAATACAAAAATTAGCCGGGCGTGGTGGCGGGCGCCTGTAATCCCAGCTACTCCAGAGGCTGAGGCAGAATAATGACTTGAATCCGGGAGGCAGAGGTTGCAGTGAGCCAAGACTGCACTGCTGCACTTCAGCCTGACCGGCAGAGAGACTCCATCTCAAAACAAACAAACAGACAAAAAATTAGCCAGGGCCGGGCACGGTGGCTCACGCCTGTAATCCCAACACTTTGGGAGGCTGAGGAGGGCGGATCACCTGAAGTTGGCAGTTCGAGACTAGCCTGACCAACATGGAGAAACCCTGTCTCTGCAAAAAATACAAAATTTGCCAGGCATGGTGGCGCATGCCTGTAATCCCAGCTACTCAGGAGGCTGAGGCAGGAGAATGGCTTGAACCCGGGAGGCAGAGGTTACAGTGACCCAAGGTTGCACCATTGCACTCCAGCCTGGGCAAAAGAGCGAAACTCCGTCCCAAAAAAGAAAAGAAAAGAAAAAAGAACTCCGGGTAATTCTTAGGAATAGTGAGGTTGCCGGGCGCGGTGGCTCACGCCTGTAATCCCAGCACTTTGGGAGGCCGAGGCTGGCGGATCACGAGGTCAGAAGATCAAGACCACGGTGAAACCCCGTCTCTACTTAAAATACAAAAAATTAGCAGGGTGCAATGGCGGGCGCCTGTAGTCCCAGCTACTTGGGAGGCTGAGGCAGGAGAATGGCATGAACCCAGGAGGCGGAGCTTGCAGAGAGCTGAGATCGTGCTACTGCACTCCAGCCTGGGTAACAGAGCGAGACTCCGTCTCAAAAAAAAAAAAAGAAAAAAAAAAAAAAGAATTCCTCTTAAGGAAGATTTGTCCCTTCTTGAACATTTATTTATTCAATTATTTATATCAGCTTGGACTCATGGATATTTATTTTATTATCTGGGTTATAATCCCAACCACTGGCTTCCAAGGCAGGGCCTCAACTCTGAGGATCAGTTTTCTTTGTAACTGGCATTTCTGACTTCAAGCATCTGCTGCCCAAGGCCATTGGCTCTGGACCAGGCCTCCATCTCCCCAGGGACAGAGTAGAGTGATGGGGACACTGGGAAGGGAGATTATTGGGTGGCAATAATAGAGGTCAGGGTTGACATAATTTTTCCTGACTCAGGTCCCAGGTCAAGGACCAAGGACGTGGCTCTGGACAGGTCACTTCTGTGCTAGGTGCAGGCAGGAGGACCAGAGTGGCAGGGTTTTATCTCTCTCTTTTATTTAATTAATTAATTTATTTTTTTATAGTGACGAGGTCTCCCTGTGTTGCCAGGCTGGTCTCGAACTCCTGGGCTTAAGTGATCCTCCCACCTTACTCATGCCTCTGACCGGCCAGCTACAATCTCAGGTTGCTATGTCCCCTTCCTTGGGTTAAATCATTTGCTAGAGTGGCTCAAAGAACTCAAGGAAACAGCGCCAGGCATGGTGGCTCATGCTTGTAATCCCAGCACTTTGGGAGGCTGAGGCGGGTGGATCACTTGAGGTTGGGAGTTTGAGACCAGCCTCGCCAACATGGTAAAAACCCAACTCAACTAAAAATACAAAAATTAGCTTGGCGTAGTGGCTGACACTTGTAATCCCAGCTACTCGGGAGGCTGAGGCAGGAGAATTGCTTGAACCTGGGAAGTAGAGGTTGCAGTAAGCTGAGATTGCTCCATTACACTCCAGCCTGGGTGACAAGAACGAGATTACATCTCAAAAAAACAAACTATTTACAGGCCAGGTGTGGTACCTCACGCCTGTAATCTCAGCACTTTGGGAGGCCGAGGCAGGTGGATCACCTGAGGTCAGGAGTTCGAGACCAGCTTGGCCAACATGGTGAAACCCCATCTCTACTAAAAATACAAAAAATTAGCTGGGCATGGTGGTGCGCACCAGTAATCCCAGCTACTTGGGAGACTTAGACAGGAGAATATCTTGAACCCAGGAGGCAGAAGTTGCAGTGAGCCAAGATCACAACACTGCACTCCAGCCTGGGAGACAGAGCAAGACTCCATCTCAAAAACAAAAAAACTTATTTACATTTACCATTTTATTATAAAGGACACAGATGAAAATATAAATGCAACCAGGCGCGGAGGCTGAGGCGGGTGGATCACGAGTTCAAGAGATCAAGACCATCCTGGCCAACATGGTGAAACCCCGTCTCTACTAAAAATATAAAAATTAGGTGGGTGTGGTGGCGCACACTGTAGTCCCAGCTACGTGGGAGGCTGTGGCAGGAGGATCACTGGAACCCAGGAGATGGAGGTTGCAGTGAGCCGAGATTGCGCCACTGCACTCCAGCCTGGTGACAGAGCGAGATTCTGTCACAAAAAATAAAATAACTAAAATACATATATATTTAAATATATAATATATATTATATATATTATATATGTCATATATAATATAATATATATTATATATATAAATGCAGCAGCATGTGTGGGAGGGGCTCAGTTTCCATTCCCACCCCACTCCCAACCCCCACACACCCCTCCAAGGACTCCATGTGTTCCTGGAAGCTCTGGGAACCCTCTCCTTTTGGGTTTTTATGGAGGCTTCATTACATAGGCATGATTGATTGAACCACAGGCCATTGGTGAACAGCTTAACCTTCAGGCCCTCTCCCCTTCCTGGAGGTTGGAAGTGGGGCTGGAAGTCCCAACCCTCTAACCCTACCTTGGTCTTTTGGGTGACCAGCCCCACTGAAGCAGCCCAGGGGCTACCAGCCATCAATCAGTACCTAAGCATACAAAAAGACATCATTTTGGAGATTCGAGGAATTTTAGGAATTATATACTAGGAGAGAGGGTCAAAGACCAAATATATATTTCACAATATGAAAGAGCACAATTTACGTATTTCGGGATTCCCTTCTTGTTACAACTTAATGAGATTTTTTTATTTTCCTGACTTTTCTCTTTGGATAATTAGCCAGTAGTTTAGGTCTGTCTTGTTCCTTTACTATGGGGTTTGAATTTGAGATGGGACTGACGGCCCTTTTTTTGCGGTGGGGGACGGAGTCTCGCTCTGTTGCCCAGGCTGGAATGCAGTGGCATGATCTCGGCTCACTGCAAGCTCCGCCTCCCGGGTTCACGCCATTCTCCTGTTTCAGCCTCCTGAGTAGCTGGGACTACAGGCGCCGCCACCAAGCCCGGCTAATTTTTTGTATTTTTAATAGAGACAGGGTTTCACCGTGTTAGCCATGATGGTCTAGATTTCCCGACCTTGTGATCCGCCCACCTCGGACTCCCAAAGTGCTGGGGCATTACAGGCGTGAACTGCCGCGCCCGGCCTCTTTCGGGCCCTTTTCTGCAGCTTAGAGTTGGCCTGGCTGCAGGGCTGGGACTATAGAATGGCAAGGAGGTGCCTCAGGTGCCAAATACTAGGTTGGTGAAAATTAATTGCGGTTTTGTCATTGAAAGCAATGGCAAAACCGCAATTACTTTTGCACTAACCTAATATAAGGAGGCGTGCAGTCTGGGGGTCAGAGTGAGTGTAGAGGTCTCCGGGAAGGGCCGCCGGCCTGGAGCAGGCTGCTAGGTCTGGGTCCCTGCCAGCCTTGCGGGGACGAACTGCTGTATTTTGCAGGAATTTACACGCTGGGTATGCAAGAGGCTGCATGTTTTTTGGACCCTAGGAGCGCTGCGGTCACAGAGCCGTCACGGCGGGAGGCGCTAAAGGACCCGGGGTGGACTCGGACGTGGGGTCAGGGATCCTGGCATTTATTCCTACCCAGACCTCCTGTTCATGCTGCGGAGCGTGGGAGGCGTAGGGAGATCGGCCGCCAGAGGGACGTGCGCGGGAGCCAATCAGCGTGTGAAGCAGGGCGCTATGTGGTTGGGGCCTCCTGTAACCTTTTTCCGCCCTGGAGTGGCTGGCCGGGTCATTGCCACTGGAGGTTCCCGGGGCTCCCCAGGTCTCCGGCATCCCCACATCGCCCTGTGACGCAGATGAGCAGAGCCGGAAGGGCCGCGCGGGAGGAACAGGGGTTGGCTTGCCCGTAGGCGGATGGATAACGCGACCCCGATCCCTGCGGTACTCTGCAGTCATGTGACTCGCTGCCTGGCGCATTTCTTCGAGTGCCCACCCCCTCGAGAAGGTGCCCCTGGGGTGGGGGTTTCACATCTGCTTTTGTTTAGTGGTCAGAGGACTACAGAGGGGACCTCTCAGGACAAGGCCTGCAACCCCCTACTCCAGCCCTGCATCCTCAGGCCCCTCTCATGGACAATAGGGTCTTAGAAAACGCCAGGGTGGGGCCGGGCGCGGTGGCTCAAGCCTGTAATCCCAGCACTTTGGGAGGCCGAGACGGGCGGATCACAAGGTCAGGAGATCGAGACCATCCTGGCTAACCTGGTGAAACCCCGTCTCTACTAAAAATACAAAAAATTAGCCGGGCGAGGTGGCGGGCGCCTGTAGTCCCAGCTACTCGGGAGGCTGAGGCAGGAGAATGGCGTGAACCCGGGAGGTGGAGCTTGCAGTGAGCTGAGATCTGGCCACTGCACTCCAGCTTGGGTGACAGAGCAAGACTCCGTCTCAAAAAAAAAAAAAGAAAACGCCAGGGTGCTGGGCATGGACCCCTCAGACCAGACGCATTGGGAGGGGTCCAAAGAGACCATGAGAACCTCAAGCCCAGGTTGGGGGATTGGCCCCGAGGGAAAAGTGGGCATCCCTGGGCCTTGTCCTGCCTGGGTCCTGGACAGGGGGCTAGGTGGCTGCCCAGGCTGCAATCTTGTGTCTAGGCTAAAACTGTAGGCTGGGAAAGTCCCCATCATCGGCCTACCACCCAATCCCCACCCAAAAGACAGAAAGGCCACCCCACACTGGTGCTACAGCACCTCAGGACCGGGTCTCAAGGCCAACCAGAGCTGGGCGCTTGCCCCTACAAGGTTATAACCCATCTTTTCTCCTTCTCCAGGCCAGAAGCCAAGGAGCCCTCAGTGACTGTGGGATCCAAGACATTATATCGCTGTCCCCACCGAGCCAGGGAAGTGCCAACACCAGCTCAGACAAGGTTGGTGTGAGAACCAGCGGGTGGGGGAGACTGTGGGCCTCCAGACGGGGATGCGACTGGATCTGGTTGTCCCACCTTCCAGGGCCAGCTGCAGTGCTGTGGTCTGCAAAGTGCTGGCAGGTGCCTGGCCCATGTTCCCTGTGACAACACAAACTGAGCTCATGTCCCCAAAGTGCTTAGCTCTGATGCTTGGTGCCCAGGGATACCAGTGTCAGTTAAAATGGACGAAGTACACCAGATGCTGTGTGGTCATGGGCTCTGTGTCCACTCTAGCTCTGCCACTCTGGCTGTGTGGATCACCCTGGCATGCCTCAGTGTCCTCAACTGTGACTGGGTCCATAAAAACAGCCTGCTGTCATAACAGGGGTGGGAGGGGGGACTGGAAGCAGTCCACAGGGTGGAAACCCTTTGACTGTGCTCAGCACATGGGAGGCCCTTCGGTAGTGGCTGGGCTCTTAGTCCATTAGTCACTCTGATGGCCCCTTGTGGAGAGTGTTTACTGTGCACATTTTCCAGATGGGGTTAGATGGGGGTGATATATCCAAGGCTGCCAGGAGAGGAACTGGCAGAACAGAAGCCTAGTTCCATCAGGGCCCCCGCCAGCCTTGGCTCCAGCGAGCAGTGAGGCAGCCCCATCTGCCCACCTCCCTCCCAGAGCCGCGTCTAGAGCCCCCCAAGGGCTTCCTCCACTGACGGGATTTTGCTTCCTTCCTTAGGATGGAACCGCTGAACTCCAGGTTGCTTGCCTGGGAGTAGGAGAAATCCACCTGCTGGGGGCTGAGCGTGGCCTGAGGGACAGGCCCTGGGTCCAGGGATGCCCCTGCCCGAGCCCAGCGAGCAGGAGGGTGAGAGTGTGAAGGCTGGCCAGGAGCCGTGCCCCGAGCCAGGCACAGAAGTCGTCCCGGCAGCCCCCAGGAAGCCCAGAAAGTTCTCCAAACTGGTCCTGCTCACAGCCTCCAAAGACAGCACCAAGGTGGCGGGGGCCAAACGCAAGGGCGTGCACTGCGTCATGTCCCTGGGGGTGCCCGGCCCTGCCACCCTTGCCAAGGCCCTCCTCCAGATCCACCCCGAGGCCCAGCGGGCCATTGAGGCAGCCCCTCAAGAGCCTGAGCAGAAACGCAGCAGGCAGGACCCAGGTGAGGCTCCACAGCGGCCCCCCAGGACAGCTTGGTACCTCCCAGGGTGGCCCCCACAGCCGCGCTGGCTCCATCAGGCCCTTCTCCCTGTCGTGCAGGTCCTCGTTCCCTGACTTTGACTACGTGTGGGGAGCAGTGGCACAGGGGTTAGGGCACAGGCCTGGGCATCCCCCGACCTCCAACCCTGCCTCTGAGCGGCCTTGCCTCTCTGCGTCTGTTCCCCACTCTGGAATGCGCTGCCCACTGACTCCTTCACAAGGGAGCATCTGAGGGTGTGGTGGGGCCCACAGGCAGCTGCTATCAGCTTCAAGGTCTTGGCTTGCAGCTGCTCAGTGAGAGTCTCTAAGGCCAGGAGCTTGATAGGTCACCTTTCCATATGTTCTAGAAAGCTCCTGTTGTCTCACTCGCTGTTCAGTCACTTAGCAACATCCACTGAACAGCAGCTGTGTGCAGGCTGGGCTCTGGAGACTCGAGGCACGCAGGATGAGACCCCCAGCAGACCAAGGCAGTGACCTCAGCCTGGCTCTCCAGGACTGCCCCTGCCCTTCCTACCTCCTCTGCCCAAGCAATCACCCCCCCGACAAGCCTCCAGGGAGACAGAGCTCGGGGCTCACAGGTCCCGTGGGGGAGTGGGGCTGGGGGTGTGGCCCTAGCTGCTGCAGGCTAACTGGAGGTGATGGGTCAGGTTCATTCCCTCTGCTTTACTGTGGGAGTGATGCAATGGATGGAGGCACTGAGCGTCTTCAGCCCCGGCTCCCACTCCCCAGGGCCCTTGGCTCTGCCCCTGCTGTGTACTAGACCTTTCTGTCAGCTAGACTTGGGGGATATAGCCAGGTGGGGCATGGTAGCAGAGATGGCATGAGAGCAGGGCTGCCCCTTTCCCTGCACCCAGCTCTCCCTGAGGTGGCCCAGGCCCTGCCCCGCTGTCCCCTGTAGGAGGACAGGTCCCCCCTCCTGGCACCACAGCAGGTCCTCAGGTCCACAGGTCCTGCCTCTGGGCTCTACCAGGGCAGGCAGCGGAGGGGGCAGGGCCCTAGGCAGCAGAGGAAATGGGCTGGGTACACCTTTTGAGCTGGAGGTTCCAGAGAGATGGAGCAGGGGGCTGCCCAGTGGGTGGGAAGAAGATGAGTTGGGGTTTCTTCCCGACTAGGAGTGGGCTCTGCCATGCCCTAAGAAGAAGAAAAGTCATAGCAGGTGGCCTTGGCTTGTGACCTCTGAACAGGTGGCCCCTGGGGTCAGCCAGGATACTCAGACTGGCAGCCCATTGTAAGAAAAGGGGGTGCTCTTAGGGTTCCTTCAGTTTGCTGGCAGGGCAGGGACCCTGCCTCACTGATGAAAATTGAGGGGTGAGTGGCCTGAGGTCACAGAGGGTCACAGCCCCATAGCCTCCCCAGGGCTGAGACCCCAGAATGCCTGAGATGGTGGTGTCCACAGCCACAGGCTTGGAGCTCTCAGGGAACCTAGTGGACCCCTCGGCCTCCATTCCTTTGCTGGAGTCTCAGGCCTGGTGTGAGCAGTGCTGTGGAACTCAGAAGGACCCCGTCCTCCCAGAGCTGGTGGGAGTGCCTAGCTCTCACTGCGAAGCCCCCACCATCCAGTCTTGCTCTGAGAGCCTCTGTGTGTCCCCCTGGCTTCTCCCGCCAACCTTGGGCAGAGGGTGCAGTCCCCACAGCCTGTGGGAGGCAGGGCTCAGAGGAGTGAAGTCACTACCCTGAGGCCACTAGGAGGTCCCTGCAGAGGGCAGAGGGGGTTGGAGTTTGGCTCAGGGTCTATTAGCTCTGTGGAATGAGAGCATCTCAAGGTCCTCCTAGCCCCTTTGAGACTCCTGCTTACTGCTGGGATCCATCTAGGCCCTTTGTGAGAATTGGAGCACAGCTATCTTCTCCAGATGAAAGGCAGAGCAGGGCTCCATCTGGCCCCAGGGGTCCCGCAGGCAGTCACCCTCGAGCATCGACCACCCCACCTGCCAACTCCTCCGTCCTTCTGTCCCCACCCCAGGTCCAGCAGAGGCGATGGCTGTGGCTTCCCAGTGCTCAGCACAAACTTGGCCTCACGTTTCCTGGAAATGATTTTAGCAGCTTTTGTGGCCCTGGGCTGGTGGCCTTGGGAGCAGTGTCCCTGAGTAGCAGTCACTTCTCAGTCAGGCAGAGGCTTCTGGCCCTGGAACATCCACTGGCTGGGGTGAGAGTGAGGCCTGGTAGACCCCCAACACCCAAGCTCAGTCCTCCGTTCTCCATTGACACCAGCCTGATCCACCTTCTTCTCTTACAGGCACAGATAGAACAGAAGACAGTGCATTAGCAGCGGGGCCTCCTGAGGCTGCTGGGGAGAACTCCGCCCCCTGCCCTGTGGCACCTGGCAAGTCCCTGTAACGTTGACGACAGCGCATCCTCCCAGGCCACCAATCCGGCCATAGGCTCTTCTCTGTCCGCAGGGCTTCTGGGGCCCAATCGGTGAATCTTTGCTTTCAACATTGTGTAATTTCTTTCTTTCTTTTTTTTTAGATCAAGTATAAGTTACTTTTATAAGCAGAAAAGTACTTTCAAACAAGAATAAAAGAAGCTGTTCGCTAGACCCCATAATGGGCAGGTTTTAAACATTCCAGGCTTCTAGGTCCTTTGAGGCTCAACTCTGATGCCACCACCCCTGGGTCTCCCCACCCCAGCCCTTACCGGGCCCTTCCAGAGTGCCCCTTAGTCACTGCCCTCCCTGACCCAAGTCTCGCTTCCTCCATGAAGCCTCCCAGACTGACAGCTCCCAGGCACTAAGGGAGCTCAGCCTTGCTGAGAATGGTAGCTCCCGGATTCTGCTGAGGGAGAGGTAGGCCTGCAGCTCATGGGTGGGTTCAGGGAGGAACCTGACAAAAGCACATGCGGCCTGCCTGTCATGTTCTTTCCAGGGGGTTTGTGGGCTGAGGGAACCGGAGTTCCTGCCCTGGCCCCCTGGGTGCCACTCCTGCTGGAGGGGAGGTGAAGGAAGCACAGCTACCCTCCTTGAGCTCCCAAGTCAGCGAGCCTCCGAGAGGCTTCCCATGCAGTCCTCATTCTTTTAAAACTGCCTGTGGGCTCAAGGCAATGTTAGGGTTTTGTTTGTTTGTTTGTTTGTTTTGAGGTGGAATTTCACTCTTGTCGCACAGGCTGGAGTGTAGTGGCACAATCTGGAGTCACTGCAACCACCACTTCCCGGGTTCAAGCGATTCTCTTGACTCAGCCTCCTGAGTAGCTGGGATTACAGGCACCCGCCATCACGCCTGGCTAACTTTTATATATTTAGTAGAGATGGGGTTTTACCATGTTGGCCAGGCTGGTCTTGAACTCCTGACCTTAGGTGATCTGCCTGCCTCAGCCTCCCAAAGTGCTGGGATTACAGGCATGAGCCACCATGCCCGGCCCTGATTCTGTATTCAAATGGCTTCTGTGTTCACCATGCTTTCTCCTTTCCCAAGTGTTTTTTTGTTTGTTTGTTTTGTTTTGTTTTTTGAGATGGGGTCTCACTCTGTTGCCCAGGCTGGAGTGCAGCAGTGTGATCTCGGCTCACTGCAACTGCCGCCTCCCAGGTTCAAGCGATTCTCCTGCTTCAGCCTCTCAAGTAGCTGGGATCACAGGTGCGCACCACCATGCCTGGCTAAGTTTTTGTATTTTTAGTAGAGATGGGGTTTCACCATGTTAGCCAGGCTGGTCTGGAACTCTTGACCTCAGGTGATTTGCCCGCCTCGGCCTCCCAAAGTGCTGGGATTACAGGTGTGAGCCACTGCTCGAGGCCTGTTCCCAAGTACTCTTGGCTGTCTGTTCTTGTCAGATGTTAAGGATGCCTGAGGATGTCAGGGCAGGACGTGTCAGGTGCAACATCAAGAAGTGGGAGTGAGGAAGAGGAAGCTGGGGTGGGTCAGAGGGCAGGGTCACTGTGGGGCGCCCCTGCCCTGTACTCAGTGTGGCACCATCGGGCCCCTCCTGCTGTTGCCTGGGAAGCCTTACCCGGCAGTGAGGGGTGACTGTGCAGCAGCAGGGCCAGCAGCGGGGGAGCATTTTTGGTGCCCCCTTAACTGGAGTTGGGGGAACAGCAAGGGTGCACCTGGGCCTGAGTCTTTCAGTGGCGTTGGCAGTCGGCCAGGAGGGAGATGCATACTAGCTGGAGCCTGCACGCTGGCCCTGGCCACATCACTGTTTTCCTCACCCTCTGGTTTTATTTTTAAACATTTGGAGCATAAAAGTTGCAGGAGCACGCAGGGCATACTGCGTAGCCCTGGCCTGGGTTCCCCGGCTCTCCTTCCCTCTCTCTCTCCTCTTTTTTCTCTGTCCCTCCCTCTGTCTCTCCTCCACACACTTCTCTTTTGCCAAACCATTTGGAGAATGCAGGCAGCAGACTCCAAAACCATTCTGCCTCCAACTTTGAGCACAACCTTCCCAGTCATAGCCATGTTAACGTGAGTGTGCCTGAGAGGATCACCGCTGGTTCCGTGACGTCACCCAGCATCATCCACACCACATCCCAGTGAGCAGTGAGGACAAAAATGGCCAGGTTAGGACCCCATGTCGCCTTTTTTTTGCCACCCATATCCTGGAGCCCCTTTCCTTCTGTTCTTTATTATTATTATTATTATTTTTTTTTTAATTTTTTAATTTTTTTTTGAGACAGGGACCGGGTTCTGCTCTGTTGTCCAGGCTGGAGTGCAGCAGACCTTCCAGGCTCAAGCAATCATCCTCCCACCTCAGCCTCCTGAGCAGCTGAGACTACAGGCAGGCTTGGCTACTTTTTTGAGTTTTTGAGGAGATAGGGTCTCGCTGTGTTGGCCAGGCTGGTCTCAAACTCTTGGGCTCAAGCGATCTTCCCATCTCGGCCTCCCAAAGTGTTGAGATTACAGGTGCACGCCACCGTGCCTGGCCTAGTGTTAGCAATTTGATATTAAAATTGAAATTATAGGCCGGGTGCAGTGGCTCATGCCTGTAATCCCAGCCTTCGGGAGGCTGAGGCGGGTGGACCAGCTAAGGTTGGGATTTCAAGACCAGCCTGGCCAACATGGCGAAACCCTGTCTCTACTAAAAAAAAATACAAAAATTAGCCAGGCGTGGTGGTGGGTGCCTCTAGTCCCAGCTACACGGGAGGCTGAGGCAGGAGAATGGCTTGAACCCGGGAGGTGGAGGCTGCAGTGAGCTGAGATCATGCCACTGCACTCCAGCCTGAGTGACAGAGCAAGTCTCCATCTCAAAAAACAAATAACTTATTAAAAAATTGCAATTAGGGCCGGGCATGGTGGCTCACGCCTGTAATCCCAATACTTTGAGAGGCCAAGGTGGGTGGATCACCTGAGGTCAGGAGTTGGAGACAAACCTAGCCAACATGGTGAAACTGTCTCCACCCAAAAATATAAAACATTGGCGGGGCATGGCTGTGGGCATCTGTAATCCCATCTGCTCAGGAGGCTGAGGCAGGAGAATCACTTGAACCCAGGAGATGGAAGTTGCAGTGAGCTAAGATCATGCCATTGCACTCCAGCCTGGGCAACAAGAGCAAAACTCCGTCTCAAAAACAAACAAAAAATGCAATTGTGAATATTCATTCACATTTTAGATCCAAACACAAATTTTAAAACATTAATTTTTTAAATTAAATTGAAAAATTTAAAAATTCTGCTGCTTTCTTGCCCCTTCACTTCTTGGGGACCTTGATATACAGGCCCAAGCGGGATCTAGTGGTAAACAGGTCACAACCCCGTCCCCTGCAGAGCCACAGAGGAAACAGAAATCCCTGACTGATGAATCTATGAACCACTAAGGACCATCTAAGGACCACTAAGGACCACTGAGGAGTCTGGGTGCCCCGGGGTATATGACAGAGGCCAACCCAGTGGGGGCCAACCTGGGCAACATAGTGAGACCCTGAATCTACAAAACAAATACAAAAATTAGCCAGGTGTGGTGGTGGTGTGTGCCTGTAGTCCCAGCTACTGGGGAAGCTGAGCCAGGAGGATCACCTGAGCTCACCTACAGTCCAGCTACTCTAGAGGCTGAGGCTGGAGGATCGCTTGAGCCTAGGAAGTCAAGGCTGCATTGAGCCATGATGGCACCACTGAGCTCCAGCTTGGGTGACATGGTGAGACCCTGTCTAAAAAAATGTATATAAAGTGGATTTTTGGAGCAGGGGATTGCAGTAGGAGCTTACTCAGTTCACTCCACGCATTGACCTGGTATTGCAGTAGCTCCAAGAATGGTGCACCCCTCCCATATGTTTGGTTGCTGAGTGTAGATGTCATTAATTTTAATTTTGAAAAAGAGAGAAAAATTACAAATTACCTCCAGTAATTCCACTACTTAGAGGTAAATTTTTAAAAAATATGTGTGTGTGTGTGTGTGTGTATATATATATATATACACACACACACATATATAAAATTATTATTTTTTTTTAGCCAGAGTTTCACTCTTGTTGCCCAGGCTGGAGTGCAATGGTGCGATCTTGGCTCACCGCAACCTCTGCCTCCCGGGTCCAAGTGATTCTCCTGCCTGAGTCTCTCTAGTAGCTGGGATTACATGCATGCACCACCACACCCGGCTAATTTTGTACTTTTAGTAGAGACAGGGTTTCTCCATGTTGGTCAGGCTGGTCTCGAACTCCCGACCTCAGGTGATCCGCCCGCCTCAGCCTCCCAAAGTGCTAGGATTACAGGCGTGAGCCACCGTGCCCGGCCAGAAAATATATTTTTTTTCAATTTTTCTATTTTCAGAAAATCAAGGTGCTGCCACACTTGTTGTTGAGACAGTCTCGCTCTGTCGCCCAGGCTGGAGTGCAGTGGGGAGATCTCGGCTCACTGCAACCTCTGCCTCCTGGGTTCAAGTGATTCAGCCTCAGCCTCCCGAGAAGCAGAGACTACAGGGGCGCGCCACCATGCCTGGCTAATTTTTGTGTTTTTAGTAGAGACGGGGTTTTGCCATGTTGGCCAGGCTGGTCTTGAACTCCTGACCTCAAGTGATCCACCCACCTCGATCACCCAAAGTACTGGGATTACAGGTGTGAGCCACCGCGACCGACCCACACATTTTTTCATAATGAGTTACAAATGTCTTCCCTCGTATGAATGCTACACATCCTTTTTGCTGCTTGACGCCCACGGCAGGGATGCGTAAAATCCACCAGCTCCAATGGCCAGACACATCCCAGTTGCTTCCAGGTTGTAAGCAATCCTGAAATAGCCTTGTTATGTTCCTAGGACAGAGTTCTAGAAGTGAGATTGCCGCACTGGAAGAATGCAAGTTACATTCAACCCACGGCCTGTGAATGCCAAACTCTTTGGCATTTGTCAACACCTGGTTTTATCATCAAGAAGAAAACAGTAATAACGCATCCTCCGCTTGGCCCTTGCGTGCACAGCCTCTGCGCTTTTCACCTCGAGGTCTCATTTTCCTTGGACAGCACTGAGCGCTGGGCAGGGCCTCATCCGGGTTCAGGGCCGAAATGTGGAGACGTTCTGGCCGATGCTCCTGGCGGTCAGGAGAGGACGCGCGCGGACTCAGCGGCTGCCCAGCAGCCTTCCCAGGACCCAGGCAGTGCCGGCAGCCAAGAGTGCGGTTCCTCCCCGCAGCCTCCGTCCCGCTAAGCCCACCCGCCTGACCCCCACCCGGGCTCCTTAAGGCCCAGACACCGGCTCTAAGGTGCCTTCTGCAGGGATGGGAGGTGGGCGACTGTAAGGGATGGAGGGGACCTGTGTGTTGACACTGTGGGTGGCAGCCGTTGGAGAATTGCAATGGAGTCCACGCTGTCGCTGCCCAGGGCACAAGCCGCAGCCCCTCCTCCCGTCGCATCTCCGCCGAAAGGCGCCCGACTCGGACACACGGCGTCCCCGTGGTTACCACATCCACTGCTTTTTGGTCTCCCCACCCCACCCCTTAACATAAACTCGACACCAGGGGAGGCATTTTGGACGATTTTGGTCCCCGAGGGTCCCAGTGCGGAGGGCAAGGAGAGAGGGAGCGGTGTGGTGCAGGGGGATACAGAACGCGGAGGACACCTGGGGGCTGGGGAGGCGGGGACGAAGAGCTAGCGGAAGAGCCGAGGTTCCGGGATTGGGGCGCGGATTTCAGAGGAACCGCAGGGGATGTGGACGGACTCAGGGAAGGAAGGGCTCCCAGAGAGGACGCGGGCGGCTGCAGGACACAAGAGGTGCGGGACGCAGGAGGCCGTGGGTCGTGCGGGAACCCAGGGCACCTGGACATGGACCCGCCAGACCTGGGGATCCTCCAGCGGCCGCTTTAGAGCGAGAGGAGATGGGCAGGCCGTGAGGCGGGGGCGCGGGGTCTCCCAGGGTGGAGCGGCGCCCTCCGCGAGCCAGCCGATGACGCGCAGCCAGAGGAGGCTTGGGCGGGGAGAAGGGTGCAGGCGGACCGTGACGACCCCGGGATGATAGGAGAGCCGCAGTGAGCCCAGGGCGCGGTGCTGGGGCCGCTCTGGCCGCTGCCGCCAAACGTCACAGGAAAACAGTAACCAGGACCCTGCGGCTCCTCGCACTTGGAGTCAACCCGGTACCGCACCGCGTTGCTGGAGAATGCCGAGTGTATTCTCCTTGCTGGAGAATGGCGCGCGGTGGGCCAGGGACGCGCAGCGGCGAGGGCGGGGCCTGTGGGTGGGGGTGGGACCAATGGGTGAGGGGTGAGCCAATGGTCGGGGGCTAAACCAATGGGCAAGGCCTGGACCAATGGGAGAGTGCTGGACATCAATGGACGGGGGCTGAACTAATGGGTGGGGCGGGGCCAAAGGGGGGCTGAGCCAATAGAAGGGAGCGGAACCAATGGGTGTAGGGCGGGGCTGAACCAATGGGCGAGGGATGGGCCGGGGCTGAACCAATGGGCGAGGGTTGGACCAACGGGAAAAGCAGGCTTTCACCTCGTGGAATGCTCAGGGGATGAAGGGAGTATTTCCTTTGTCCAGCTTCTACTTTGACATAATTTCTCACCTACAGAAAAGTTGCAAGAATCCCAAAAGGAGGCTGACTGGGGTGGCTCACGTCTGTTTCCCAGTGCTTCGGGAGGCCAAGGCGAGAGAATCGCTTGAGCTCAGGAGTTTGAGACCAGCCTCGGGAATAGGGAGACTACGTCTCTAGTAAAAATTGAAATTAAAATTAAGACCGGGTGGGGTGGCTTACGCCTGTAATCTCAGCACTTTGGGAGGCCAAGGCGGGCGGATCACTTGAGGTCGGAAGTTCAAGAACAGCCTGACCAACATGGAGAAACCCCGTCTCTGCTAAAAATACTAAACTAGCCAGGCGTGGTGGCGCCTGTAATCCCAGCTACTCGGGAGGCTGAGGCAGGAGAATCGCTTGAATCCGGGAGGCGGAGGTTGCGGTGAGCCGAGATCACGCCATTGCACTCCAGCCTAGGCAAGAAGAGCGAAACTTCGTCTCAAAAAAAAATAAAATAAAATAAAAAAATAAAAACTTAGACGTGGCGGTGGTGCACACCTGTAATCCCAGCTACTCGGGAGCCTAAGGTGGAAGAATCGCTTGAACCCGGAGGCAGAGTTTGCAGTAAGCCGAGATCGCACCATTGCCCTCCAGCCTGGGCAACAAAGCGAGACTCTGCCTCAAAATAATTATAATAATAATAATTGCAGTGGTCTCAATGATGTAAAATTAAAGGTAGTGATTCATTTTCACAAAGATTGACAAGAAAGATGACAACTGGAAACTCAAGAGACCCAGAGGTGGCAAAAGAATATTGAAAAGGAATAACAGGCAGATCGCAGTGGTTCATGCCTGTAATCCTAGCACTTTGGCAGGTCGAGGCGGGTGGATCACCTGAGGTCAGGAGACCATCCTGGCCAACGTGGTGAAACCTCGTCTCTACTAAAAATACAAAAATTAGCAGGGTGCTGTGTTGTGCACCTGTAGTGCCAGCTACTTTGGAGGCTGAGGCAAGAGGATCAATGGAACCCAAGAGTTTGATTGAGGCTGCAGTGAACTGTGATCTCACCACTGCACTCCACCCTGGACGACAGAGGGAGATTCTGTCTCAAAAACAAAACAAATAAACAAAAACAGCATCCTGGCCAGGCATGGTGGCTCATGCCTGTAATCCCAGCACTTTGGGAGACCAAGTCGGGCAGATTACCTGAGGTCAGGAGTTCGAGACCAGCCTGGACAACATGGTGGAACCCCGTCTCTCCTAAAAATACAAAAATCAGCTGGGCATGGTGGCGCAGGCATGTAGTCCCAGCTACTGGGGAAGCTGAGACAGGACAATCGCTTGAACCTGGAAAGCAAAGGTTGCAGTTAGCCGACATAGCACCATTGTACTCCAGCCTGGGTGTGGCAGTCAGACTTCTCTCAAAAAAAAGCTGGGCGTGGTGACAAGTGCCTGTAATCCCAGCTGCACAGGAGACTGAGGCAGGAGAATCGCTTGAACCCAGGAGGTGGAGGTTGCAGTGAGCTGAGATTGTGCCACTGCACTCCAGCCTGGGCGACAGAGCAAGACTCCATCTCAAGAAGAAAAAAAAACTAGTTATTATGTTCTTTTTTTTTTTTTTTTTTTTTGAAAAACAGGGTCTTGCTCTGTCGCCCAGCCTGGAGTGCAGTAGCATGAGCGCAGCTCACTGCATCCTCAAACTCCCAAGCTCAAGCGATCCTTCCACCTCAGCCTCCTGAGTAGCTTGGACTACAGCGCATCACCACATTCAGTTAATTTTTTCTTGTTCCTCTTTTTTTTTTTTTTTTTCTGTAGAGAAAGAGTCTCACTGTGTTGCCTATGCTGGTCTCAAACTCCTGGGCTCAAACGATGCTCCTGTCTCAGCTTCCCAAAGTGCTGGGATTACAAGCACGAGTCACTGTACCTGGCCAACATGGATGAACTTTGAAAGTGCTATGCTAAGGCTAGGTGAAAGAAGTCAGTCACAAGAGACCACATATTTGTTGCATGATTTCATTTATACGAAATGTGCAGAATATGCAAATCTATAAAGACAAAAAATAGATCATATTACTTAGGGCTGGGGTGATTAGCAAATTGGAGGGTGATGGCTAAAGGTTTCTTCTTGGAGTGATAAAAGGTTTTAAAACAACTAGCCGGGCGAGGTGGCGGGCGCCTGTAGTCCCAGCTACTCGGGAGGCTGAGGCAGGAGAATGGCGTGAACCCGGGAGGCGGAGCTTGCAGTGAGCTGAGATCCGGCCACTGCACTCCAGAGAGCGAGACTCCGTCTCAAAAAAAAAAAAAAAAAAAAAGGTTTTAAAACTGACTATGGTGCTGCTTGCACAACTCTGTGATTATACTAAATATCATTTAATTGTACACTTTAAATGGGAGAAATGTATGGTATGTGAATTATATTTCAATAAAGCTCTTACTAAAAAAAAAAAACAACAGTAAACTGATTGTTAACATAACATAGTTTTATGGAAAACTACAATATTTTTCCAAAGAAATTTAGAGAGAACAGTGACATAGTTTTACATTTTTGCAAATATCTTTGTTGCTGGCTTAACAGAAGACTACTGGCTGTCATATCTGCTTCTACATTCTATGTGTTACATCACTCGTCATGCAGCCTTTGTAATACTATGTAATATTTCTGCTTTTTTATTTTTTATTTTTTTGACACAGTCTCACTGTTGCCCAGGCTGGAGTGCAGTGGCGCCATCTCAGCTCACTGCAAGCTCCGCCTCCCGGGTTCAAGTGATTCTCCCGCCTCAGCCTCACGAGTAGCTGGGATTACGGGCGCCCGCCACCACACCCGGCTAATGTTTGTATTTTTAGTAGAAACGGGGTTTCACCATGTTGACCAGGCTGGTCTTGAACTACTGACCTCAGGTGATCCACCCGCCTCGGCCTCCCAAAGTGCTGGGAATACAGGTAGGAGCCACCGCGCCCGGCCCAGGTATTTTTTTTTTGTTGGCTTTCTGATGTAAGAAAGAACTGTCCCTTCTCCCGCATTGACTTATTTCCTTCAGTTTGGACTCTTATCGTAGTCAAGGTTATAATCCGTTGCTATCGCTGTTTATTTGAATATCACACTGGCTCCGCTCTGGGGTAGGGTCACTGGGGGCGTCAATGAGATGCATGAGAATCGCCTTTCCACGGGCTCAGGAAACTGACAGACCCAAGGGTGCATCTCAGCAAGCGCTCCGCTTCCTGCGGGCATCCTCAGATCCTGGGGACCGTCCTGGGGTCTCAATTAAGCGCCCCCTACTCCAGCCCCTTTACGCCAAGACCGTCCCGTCCAGCACCCCCATCCTAGCTCCGCCCCTGGACGCCGGCGTCCAATCTCGGGATGGCCCCGCCTTTTCAGTGAGTTACGTCCCCGCCCCCATGCGTTGATAGGCCAGGCCTGCGGCTCGGCGACGCGCGGCGAAGACCTGGAGAAGCGGATTTACCTGAGGAACGGGCCACGCGGTCTTGCTGCGCATGCTCGGAAGGAGCCCGCCTGGGCGTTCCGCAAGGCCGTCTGCCCGGCGGGGTCGCGCGCGCGGTTACGGGGCTCGCTCCCGCGGGGCAGGTCCGGGCTGGGAGCGGGCGCCGGGGTCGGCGTGGCGGCGACTGCCTGGGCCGCGAGGTCGACCCCCGCTGCTGCAGCGGCAGAGGCTGAGGGACCCGCCGCGGCGCTGTCGCCGGAGAGGGAGGGCCCCGCTGCCGTCGGTGAGGACGGGCCCCTGCGGGCCGGGAGAGTCCCGCGTCCCCGGCGTGGACGCGCCCCCGGCCCGGCTCTCCCGGGGGTCCCAAGGGCTGCGGGTGCTGGGGAGGGGTCTGCGTCTCGGCGCTCAGCCGCCTCCTGTGGGGTGTCCCGTGATTCCCTCCTTGCTCCTCGCCCCTCCTTCCTCACTCCACCCCCGTCCCCTGGCTTAAGCCCGACACTCCCACTTCAAGGACCCCAGCACTCGCCCTCCGTTCCCTGGCGGTGTCCGCCCCGCCCAGCGCTGCCTTCCTGAACCCGCAGCACCAGCCCCATCCCACGGTTGCAGCTCGGGCGGTCCCAGTGACCTTGCACTTTTGCGGATCTGGACGCACCCCGCTCCGGCTTCTGACTCTATAGATCTCCGGTGACGGCTTTCGAACTTTGCTGACCCACAGCCGACACTGAGAAATGCCTTTTACGCGTGTACACTGCGCCTGCGGGTCTGGATGACTGAAGCACAAGTTTAAAGGGAGACGCTTGTTTAAGCTCACATGACGCAGCTGGATCTGTTCGGATTCAATTCCGTTCCATTCTCTTCTACCCGGTTCCAAAAGGCCGCGGCTAACCCATGGAGCCTGCACATAACGGGTCTGACGTAGTTGAAACGCTCGCTCGAAACCCTGCCCGTTGTTCCCTTTATGCCTTGTCCTGGGAGGAAACTGAACTTCCATAGTCAGATAATCATGTGCGAACTCCAATTCCGAAGAAACGGCTTATTTTTATTTTCATATTTCTGCTTTCCAGGGTCAATATGATTTCCAGGGCTTGATCTAGATATTCTCGTGTGATTCTATCATGTTTCTTTTATTCCTCTCCCAAATGCTACTGGCGGCACGTGTGGAAGGAACAAGGCTGAGGTTGGGACTACATTGTGGAGCGTTTATGACACCCAGCTGATGATGCACTAAAGCTGGAGATGGAGATGATTTAACTGGGGAGAGACAGGCTGAAAGTTAAGCTTAGGAAGAGTGGCCTGTCAGCACCCTATAGGGAGAATTGGAGTGGCTGCTTGCCAGAGCTGGCAAGATCGTTCAGAGGCTTTGGCTTGGGCTAAAGAGGTTGTGGTAAGGGATGATGTCCTGAGGTGGTGGGAATGGAAAGGAGAGGGAAGATGGGTATATCAGGCATAAAGGGAGAGAGATTTGAGGATGCATTAAGCTATGGGAAGGAGTAAATAAACTTCGCTAAGATTATGATGGAGGGGGCCGGGCGCGGTGGCTCAAGCCTGTAATCCCAGCACTTTGGGAGGCCGAGACGGGCGGATCACGAGGTCAGGAGATCGAGACCATCCTGGCTAACAAGGTGAAACCCTATCTCTACTAAAAAATACAAAAAATAACTAGCCGGGCGAGGTGGCGGGCGCCTGTAGTCCCAGCTACTCGGGAGGCTGAGGCAGGAGAATGGCGTAAACCCGGGAGGCGGAGCTTGCAGTGAGCTGAGATCCGGCCACTGCATCCCAGCCTGGGCCACAGAGCGAGACTCCCTCTCAAAAAAAAAAAAAAAAAGATTATGATGGAGGGTGATTGGGGAATACCCGGCTGGGGGGGTCTCATTGGCCAAGCTCTCCCTTTCTGTGCCCTCTGATTTCTAAGTTGCTTTGGAGCTGTGGCTCTCGGGCAGTTTTGCACCCCAGGGAACATTCTGCAATGCTGATGGTCACAACGTGTGGTAAGGCATGACACTAGGATCTGGCAGGTAGAGACCGGGGATGCTGCTGAACACCCCACGCTGAACAGCACAGCCTCCCACAGCAGAATCATCCGGCCCAAAATGTCAACAGTGCTGAGATTGTGAAGCTCATTTTGAGTCAATTTTAATTATCTGGGCATCTCTGCCACCTTCAGCCTCTCCAGGAGGAAGGTCTGTGTGCACCCACTGAGCGTGTGCTATCACCATAGGGGTTCATGTCCAAGGCAAGTGCACCTCCAATGCTCATGGCTCAGTTGTGGGTAGGTGGGAGGTGGGTAGACATTGGAGTCTTCCAGGAGCGCTTTTTTTTTTTTTAACTTTGTAGAAATGGTGTGTGTGGAGGGGTGGTCTCGAACTCCTGGGCTCAAACAATTCTCTCACCTGAGTCTTTCAAACTGCTGAGATGACAGGTGTGAGCCACCTTGCCACCAGCCCATTCAGAAGCTTTTTAAACAAAGCGCCTTCCCTCCTCCTGCTCCTATCCCTTAGCACCCCTGCTGCACCTGGATGCAGAATGCCTTGTTCTTCTGTAACACTCGACAGTGCATGGAATAATTTCACTTGCGATATTTCATTTGCCACTTTTCTTTCTTCACAGGTGAAACCAGCCCAGAGAAGTTACGGGATTTTCCCCCGGGGTCTCCTGCCCAGCAAGCCAGCGCCGTGACCCAGGTGTGGGAGATGATGGTGGCGTCTCTCACTCACGTGTAAAGGTAATTCTGTTGCTCCTTCAGCTGCCAAAAGAGCCTCCTGGTTTTCCAGCCTTACTGATTAGAGTTTGGACCCTCTGGTGTCTGAAAGACACCTGACAGTTGCTGACATGTGACCCTTAGGTCTATACTGAGCCCTTGTGGCCACCAGCAGGACCGCAGTGTCCCAGCAGGGTACACTGAGCCCTTGTGGCCACCGGCAGAACCGCAGTGTCTCAGCAGGCCATCTGGCATTGCACTCAAATTGCTCCGCACCCACAGTTCTGGGAGATGGGGAGAGAGGATAAGAGTGATGCACCATAAACTGAGGCTTTGGAGCTTTCCGTGCACATCTGCCAGCCCGTGCTCCATTCACTTAAGAAATCTGTACTGAGTGCGGCCAGGCATGGTGGTTCGTGTCTGTAATCCCAGCGCTTTGGGAGGCCGAGGTGGGCAGATCACCAGAGGTCAGGAGTTTGAGACCAGCCTGGCTAATATGGTGAAACCCCGTCTCTACTAAAAATACAGAAAATGTAGCTGGGCATGGTGGCGGGTGCCTGTAATCCCAGCTAGGAGCCTGAGGAGCAGAATCGCTTGAACTCAGGAGGCAGAGGTTGCAGTGAGCCAGAATCAAGCCACTTCACTCCAGCCTGGGTGACAGAGTGAGACTGTCTCAAAAAAAAAAAAAAAAAATTTGTACGAATGAAGATTGAACATCACAAAAGAAACACATTAGGGCCCCTGTATCTACCACAAAACAACAGGTATCCACTGTCAAAAAAAAAAAAAAAAAAAATGCGCTTACAGTAACAAAAGTTTCATAAAATATACTTGTTTTTTGTTAAATGCACTGAAAATTTCTTTTTTTTTCCCCCCCGAGACAGAGTCTCATTTTGTTGCCTAGGCTGGAGTGCAGTGCTGCGATCTTGGCTCACTGCAACCTCCATCTCCCAGGTAGGTTCAATCAGTTCTGCCTCAGCCTCCTGAGCAGCTGGGATTACAGGCACGCACCACACCCGGCTAATTTTTTTGTATTTTTAGTAGAGACAGGGTTTCACCATGATGGCCAGGCTGGTCTCGAACTCACGAGCTTCAGCTCACTGGCTCTTTAACAATAAGTGAAATCTTTAACATGTGTTTGTTTTACATGAGTATAAAACAGTTTTATTTCCTTTGTTTTGGTCTAGGGCACTGTTTTTCAAACTGCTTAGTCATTGGTGTTAAAATCATTAGGTTCCAGTCAGCAATTTTTAAAATTACATGGGCTGGTCGTGGTGGCTCATGCCTGTAATCCCAGCACATTGAGAAGCCAAGGTGGGCAGATCATGGGAGGCACAGGCAGGAGAATGACTTGAGCCCAGAAATCGGAGGTTGCAGTGAGCTGAGATATAGCCACTGCTCTCCAGCCTGGGAGACCAAAGAAGACTCTGTGATGGGGGAAAAAAAAAAAAGAGAATCCAAAGAATAATCTGGAAGATTCTAGATCAGGAATATTGAAGTGATGTGCAAACAGAGGCAAAACTGGCCTCTTCCACAGTGGGGGAATTTATTTACATGTCTGTATTTATTTTGTTTGTTTATTTATTTATTGAGACAGAGTCTTGCTCTGTTGCCCAGTGCAGTGCAGTGGCACGATCTCAGCTCACTGCAAGCTCTGCCTCCCAGGCTCACGCCATTCTCCTGCCTCAGCCTCCCAAGTAGCTGGGACTACAGGTGCCCACCACCATGGCCGGCTAATTTTTTTGTATTTTTAGTAGAGACGGGGTTTCACCGTGTTCACCAGGATGGTCTCGATCTCCTGACCTCGTTATCTGCCCACCTTGGCTCCCCAAAGTGTTGGGATTACAGGTGTGAGCCACTGCACCCGGCCGTATTTATTTAAATAGAAAAAGAGACGCCAGGCCTGGTGGCTCACACCTGTAGTCTCAGCACTTCAGAAGGTCGAGGTGGGAGGATCGCTTGAGCCTGGGAGTTTGAGGCTGTAGTGATTGCACCACTGTACTCCAGCCTGGGCAGCAGAGCTAGACCCTGTCTCCTATATGCTAGAATTACTTTGCATTTTTCTCAGCTGTTCACAATTTACAGAGTTGTACAAATAGCTCAAAGAGGAGAATAAGATAATCTGGAAAGATGTGTTCTAAACAATGTATCATTTTCCACTGAAGCACACATTTTTCTTTTGATCTCATAATCAAGGAAAATTTTTTTTTTTTTTTTTGAGACTGTAAATCCAGCCTCTTGGGAAAGCTGAGGCAGACAATCGCTTTGAAACCAGAAGCGGAAGTTGCCAGTGAGGGCTGAGAATCAGTGCCCACCTTGCAACTCCA